CCTCAGAGACAAAAAGAAGGCCCTGATTGTCTTGGGTTCTGCTAGAGCCGCCCAGATGTGGGCCGGCTCTAGGAAACTTAGCAGCAGGGCAGGAGTCTCACTTGATTACTAGGCAGGAAGCAAAGAAAACCCCTCTGAGTTTCTCCTGCAGGTTCCGAGAGAAAGTCTAGGGCTGCAAAGTGCCGGCTCATGGCCAAAAAAGGAAAACCCAGGCAGTCCTGCTGCAGGATCCGAGTCACTGCATGGTCCAAGGTGCTGAACGGACGAGAAACTATTGATCCTATGAAAGACTGGACGGTGCAAAGCGCTTCTGATAGTTCTTTCTCTGCACAGGTGCAATCCATGTGGAGATGGTCGCATCAAAGCAGCTACAAGAACAGGAAAACTAGGAGCCCCAAGGCTGCCGGGTTTCCGCATGAAGGGTTTCCAGGTCGTCTAGCATCCTCTATGCACTCTTGCTCCCGGCATCTGCAAAACAAATGACGTTCACATGTCCATGCAAGCCTTGCAATATCACTCGCGGTAGACACGTCATCTTTTTCCGTGCCCGACAGAGTTCATAGATTCAGTCCATGGAGAACAAGTCCAGGGAAACATCCAGAGAGTTTTCCTCCCGTCTCTCCGTGGATCCTACAGCTGCCTCCTCCGAAGCTCTCTGAGAATCGGCCTCCTGCGCCTGCTCGGAGACCTCGCCAGTAACACTGGCGGCTAAGCCGCCCTCGCCGCCGGGATGCTGAGACCCAGCAGCAGGGGAACGAGCACGAGGCCACCTTCTGCGAGCCTGCAGCTCGACCTCTTCACCAGGCTCATCGTCGCTGTCGCTGCAACGAGCTCGGCGACACGGCTTGCAGAGATGAGTGCGATGCTCTCGTCTCGTGTTAGCTGCCAAGGGCCTGCTGCATCGGTACCCGCAGCCATCGATGCAAGGGCAAGTGCAATGGCCGATGATGATACGAAAACCTTTCTTGCGAAGTTTTCTCGGCAGCCGGTTGCTGAGCGGCAACCGAAAAGGGAGCTCGTTCGGAGCTGCTTCCATTCTAGGCGAGTTGGGGACCAACGATGACGGCAGTGTATGTAAAAAAGAGGACATACATATGTAACACAAAATAAATATATATGCGGATGTAAAGTCAGACAGAAGTATATTATGGAGACACAAGTCCTTGTTCAAGAACTGGGTTTAGGACGATCATCCATGCGATCATGTGTCTCTAGAGGAGAGTTGCCGAGAAACGAACACACATGTCTTCTCATAAGAACGTGCTTCATGAACGGTCCTATGTGACACGACTCAATGAATGCAAGAATCTTGCAAAAACATGACCACGACTGATTCATGAAGACACTTCAACCACCCAGAGCCGGACTGTTTTGGGAGGGGTCGGGAACAGAACTGCGATTCTCGTCAGTAACATCATCAGAACGATCTCATCTCCAGAATGCAGCATGGCAGCTGCAGCAATGCACTTTTCAAGACTGGTTTTAGGGTGCCATTCGCCCGGACTAGCCTCGAGACATGTGTATCACACATCTCCAAAACTACAGACAGCTTCAGCGGCTAGTCCGCCTCCAGCTGCCTCGCGTCTGTCTGTAGCAACCGACCATCAGGTCGCGTCCTCGAGGGCAACCGCCTGCAAACAGGTAGGAGTCAGTCGTA